AGTCAGCCACACGATTATGAGGGTAGACAGCTGATACTGTATTCTACAGTGTGCTGTATTTAATAAATTACGTGAGATAGTCAACATATTTAGTCAACAAAATAGGCTTTGTGTTAGATGATTTTGCCTAACCACAGGCTAATGGAAGTGTTCTGAGCACATTTAAGGGCTGAGCTATGATGTTCAGTAGGTTAGATGCATTAAGTGAATTTTCAATTTAGGGTATTTACAACTTAAGATGGATTTATGAGGGCCAGATGCAGTGGCTCACACCTGTAATCTCAGCGCTCAGGCCAAGGCAGGCAGATCACCTGAGCCCAGGAGTTCAAGAATGGCCTGGGCCACATGGTGAAACCCCGTCTCTACTAAAAATACAAAAAATTTAGCCAGGCGTGATAGTGCGTGGAGGCTGAGGTGGGAGGATCACCTGAGCTTGGGAAGTAGAGGCTGCAGTGAGCCAAGATTGCACCACTGCCCTCCAACCTGGGTGATAGAGTGAGACCCCATCTCAAAAAAAAAAAAAAAAAAAAATGGATTTATCAGGACATAACCTCATTGTAAGTGGAGGAGCATCGGTACCACGTCCTGTGACTAAAATAAACAAAAGTGACAACAGCCTAATTCAGGCAGGAATATTAATGGTCCAGGAATCTCAGGAATGAAGGTTTGGGTCACCCCACCAGGCAAAGAACCATGACCAGATGAGGTGCTTGCTGAGGGAAAAGGAAATACAGAAAGGGCAGTGGAGGAAGGGAATCATAAAGACCAGCTCTGACCACATGACCAGTTGCAGAAATGAGGACAGTAATAACTATGAGTATTTCTTCCTTATTTTGTTATGAATGTTTGTATATACTTTTTTTTTCTTTTTTTTTGTTTTTTTTTGAGACAGCGGATCTTCGCTCTGTGCCCAGGCGTGCAGGAATGCAGTGGGGCGGCTACTCACATCCGCTAAAAACAAATCTCACATGCCTCAAGCCATCCCATGTACTGGGACTACCAGGCCTTACAAAACAAACAACAACACACATAATAATAAAGAAATATATATATGACAGATTGCGACCGTGTTAGCCAGGAAGTCTCCGATCTGACTTGTGATAAACACAACAACACATCGGACTCCAAGAATGATGGGATAAACACACAGTGCCTGGCCTTTTTTTTTTACAGAATC